TGGTTGTTGGAGGAAACAGTTCTGCTTCAACCTTTGTGAATTGGGGCTATTTTCCAAGCTTCCACGTGGCGGGAAGTTGATTCTGGTCTAAACAGCGCTGGAAAAACTAAACTAAGTGTCCTACCAGTTGGCTTGCTTCTGCTTCCAGTGTCTGGGGGAATGGCATTGGCAACCAGCGAGCTGTGTTTGCGTAGAAGCGTCAGCTTATGCCATTCAGCATCCGCGGTAAGTGATGTAAGGGACAAAATGTCTGGAAGATCGCTTAGTGGCTAGACCCTCTGAAACGTGGGGGCATATAGCATCCGCAGCGCTTTTTCTACTTCCAGAGCGGCTCTTGTTAGGTCATCAGCCGTCATGAGTGGAGGAAATCCGCTTCAAATTTCGTAGGCTATTGATTTGTTTGTACAGCAGCTCGTGGTTAGCACTGAAGGTTTTTGCGATGTTCTGCTGATAAGCGGCTTTGTCTCCTCTTAGCAGTTGAGTGCAGTGGTTACGTTGGGCTACGTAGTTGTCCCAATTTCTGGTGCTGGAGCTTCTCTGTACACTCGTCATGCTGCGTTGCGTACTGTCATCCATTTTCGAGTTCTGCTCCTGGCGTAAGAAACTAATGTACACTTATGACAAACTTTTATTTCTGACGCCTCTGCCATCAGCTGACAGAATTTGTTGCAGAACTCGAGCCAGGAGACTTCCGGGGGTTCTTCGGCAAGGAACGACCAAGTTGTAGCGCTGAGGAGCTGGGCTAATCGATCGTAACTTGTGATGGTTCGCAAAGTCTCATCGTTCTTATTCCGCTATTCCGCGTAGCAGACGAAGTTGAATCTGATGAATGCATGATCACTGCGACCCAAGAGGAAGTCTAAAATCAGCACATCAATCATATGCACCTCGTTGATAGGCACGAGATCCAGCACAGATGGCCTGTTACCGGTTCTGAACCGAGTGGGCAAAGTTCTGAGATTTTAAATAGGAGCAGTAGTTACGAGCTCTTGTAGATCGGCTTTGAATTGTTCTCCGATCGTGGCAGGAGTTTTTAAAAACTGTATGTTAAAAGCAGCCATGATAAGTGTGTGTGTGTGTGTGTGTGTGTGAGTGTACATTTGCCGTAACCTGCATCTTAAACCAGCCGCTGGGTGGCAGTTAATTTCGAGTGTTGAGTTAGGGGAGCGGTAAACCAAGACAATATAGGCAAGCGTCCCTGCCTCTTAACTGCAAAAGACACCAAAGAGAGTCGGGGAACTGAGAGTCTGAATCTTTCACGGATTCATACTGGAAGTCGCTTCGGTAATACGGAATTACATCGAAACGCGTCGTGGTTGTGCAGTGTTTTCGGGTGGGCATCATTCAATTTCCATCTGCTTTGAGTACGGTCCCAGTGATCGCCGTGACTAAGATTCACTTCAATGTGAACCACAGTCCATTACATTGAGATTGCGCGTCGCAATCCAATCACACAATGTGTAGTCCAAACTTGACCCTCCAATCGTTAGAAGGATGTTCTGGCACGCCATGTATGAAGGTTGTGATTAGGCGGTCTTGTTTGCTGTATCCCACTTCGGCGTTTCTTTTTGATTGTCGCATCAGGATAGATGCGCATCCCACCGGATCTGTGTTTTATCAGCATGTGGAGAGCAAGTTTTTCTACGCCGGTGAATGATTCTAGTGTTACTCGAATAAGCCTGGGTTCTCCATAGTGTGGCGAGTTCGGATGACGAGTAATCCGTAATAGGTTTATGGGCTTGGCTTTGACACGCATCAGCACGCACAATGAGTTCCATTGGTCTTGCTTGTCCGATAACTTATCTCGCAATGTGATGGCAGTAGACTCAGGGACATTTGAGCATAAAACATTTCGGGCACTATTGTTGGATCCCTTTTTCCTTTATCTACAAGTAATGGTACTCGTTTTTCCTGACCTGCTTGAAAGCGTTGATTGCTATTTGTCCCTCTATTCGCCTTAACGATGTTTACAAAACAAGAGGCTGCAACAGCGGCCTCCCGGTGGACTTTTGCAGCAATCTCTGCATATTTAACTGATGTTCCAGGGGCTTTGTCTCAGCAAAAACATTTTAGCTACATGTACCGAAGGTTGGTGTTCGGCTGTTTCATCCTTGTTAATGCTGGATGTCTGATCTAGTGAAATTTGCTTAAGCAGAAGTTTCGAGTAGTGCCTGGTTTCCGTTGCCATGAATACTGTTCGACCCTCGTAGGTACGGTCAGATTTCGTTCGGCGTTCTACCAAAGTTGAAGAAGACCACGGAGCTGGGGAAGTGGCTGATTGCGGTTCAGGGGAAGCGAATTGTGCAGCATACCGTTGCTTAGAAGCGGATACGCTTCCGTGGTGCATGCTCGCTTCCATTAAAGTAATCTTATCGTTTACCCTCTGCTCGGCTTCTGCGGATAACCGGTCCATTTTCTGAAATAGGATAAGCAAGTACTTGACGTGTGGGATGGTGGAGCACCTAGTAAAGAAGCAAAGCGCATCTTGGGATCTATTTCGCTCTCGTACTTGTTGTTGGGACACATATACACACTTCCGATGATACCATTTCAAACAGTGCGAGCAAGCCAGAGCTATTTTAACTAATCGATGACATTCTTCTTACCCGCACATGTCTTTTGCTTAATGCCTTTTCGGATTCGCATTGCTGCCATTCAACATGATGTCGTTAACTGACCCAGCGGGTTGATTGGTGTTCCGTACTTTTACAGCTTTGAGAGCGGCGCATTTCGGTCAGGTGAGTGCGATGGTTGCAATGCCAACTGAGCAATCGGCGTGGTCGTGCGGTCCGTGTAATGTGTTATGCAGACGCACTGGCTGACAAGTCTACAAGGAATGACGATTGACTGGAATCTGTCAACTGAATCTGAACATAGCCCTGAACTCAGCGCTGAACACAGATTGAGAGATCACAAATTCTTTCACAGCAGCGTCGAGGAACGCCGGATCTGAATAAGCTTAGGCGTTTCGGACTGCCTCGAGAATTCCGTATCGAATGGGGTCACACATAAAGGCAATCGGCTCAATGTGAATGAGTTACCCGCTTGCGTTTAATCACGGATGTCAGTGAAAGCGGTTAGTAATGGCACGGACTTTAATCGTAGAAGATATTTCCACGTATGATGGATCACTGTGTATTGCTGGTAAATCCGGTTCGAATGAGCGTAAAGTGACGACGCTGCGAGAAGCTGGAGAGAGGATAGAGAGGAATTAGCCAAATGGACCAGAAGCACGCAGGTCACGCGTGTGTGGATGACCTTGTCGACGATGGCCATGTCAAGACTTGAGATCGCGCACGGAAGCGTGCACGTCCGTTGTCCGGGAGTTCCAGTTGGATTGTAGATTGTCTTCATGCGACAGACATATAAGTGAATGCAAGCTAAGGTGCGTTCCCAATTGTCTATGGTTGTCATGTACTGTGGTGTGTTACCGTGCATTGTTTAGACATCAAATAATGTGTTGACGTCGGCATGTGTATCACGGAGTGTATATCACGTGGCTTGTGATTAGGCTTTGGCATGTAGGTAAATGAAAAGTGCAGTTCCACAAACATGAGTGTTTCGAGAAAGTGACAAACGCACCTAACAATACCTTCCTTCTAGTGAAAGTGAATGCATATGTTTGGAAGGGAAAATAGTGATTGCGTTGTGCGGCTGTTTTCATTGGGCGACATATCGGTCAGGCCAATGCACCGGACATCCGGATCCGGTGACACGTGTCGTTTCCTTGGTGTAAGCATGTTGGAAATGTTACCGTCGGAGACGTCGGTGGCGTTTTGTTCTTAGAGGTTTGGGTGTTATCTGCTGGTATAGCTTCCAAAAAATCGGTATAAACAGGTTTCAGGTGATGAATACTAACAGCGTCTGTTCTACTGTGTGGTTGGACAGTAAAATACTTAGCATGACGTTTAAGAACTACAATAAGGACCCTCATACGGAAGTTGTTGAGATTGTTTAACACGGTCATTTCGAATGAAAATATGAGTGCAAAGAAGAGTGACCAGGGTGAAGATATGATGACTTCACTGAACTCGTGGGTGGGCAATAAGGAAGTTGGCTCATGTGATTTTGCAGTTTAATACCGTAAGTGAAGGAATCAATGTTATTGTTGGCTGCTGGGGCAAAACGTTGACAAGGGATGCGTAATATGGTTTCGGCAACCAGTTCCGCGGGTGAACATTGAAGGGTTGATCGAAACATTGTACACAAATGGAGCAAAATCATTGGAAGTGCATCTGTCCAGTGCGTCCGATCTGAGTGTGATTTGGTCGCGGTTTTTAAGTGTCGATGAAAATGTTAGACTAAACCGTTTGTTTGGGAATGATAAGCTGTGGTGCGAACCCTTTTGCAGCCCAATAGTTCCGTCGACTGCTGGAAAAGCTGGGACCCGAATTGTGAACCGCGGTGAGTGGTGATGAAGGAAGCAAAGCCGAAAGTGGCTATCCATCTAGTGACAAGTGCACGGGCGATGGCTTCTGTAAGTGTGTCTGCAATGGAAATGGCTTCAGGCTATCGAGTGAAACGATCGATGCCTGTAAGGATAAAAGAACTACCACTGGAACAGGGTAGAGGTACGACGATATTGATGTGCATATGGTCGAATCTGTTGTCCGGTTGTGCAAAAGTTCCGACATCCGATGGGATATGCCGAGTGATTTTTGAACGTTGACAGGCTAAGAAAGAAGTTGCCCATGTGTAAATGGCTTCGTACATGTTCAGCCATATAAAGCGTCCAGAGAACAGTTTGACAGTTGCAGGTGTGCCGCGATGCGAGACATTATGAAAATCCTCGAAAATGGTTCTGCCCATGGATAAAGGAACCAATTGTCTTGGGATTGTCGTGCAAACATCACAATCAATCGTGCCTGGTGTGGTGTGTAGAGGCACTGGCTGAATGCCCAGTGAAAGCTGTTTGTAATTCTGCTGCGGCTGAGATGGTTCTTTTTGTATTTGATGCATGCGTTTTGCAGATCGATGGGAGTCGTATTCACCAAACCTACTTGCGGGCGTGGCAATGTGTCAGCGACAATGTGATATCCTCCAGGAATATAGCGGATATCATTGGTGCACTGTGAAATGGAATCTAGCTGACGTACTTCACAGGGTGAGTACTTATCTGGCCTAGCTTGTAAATCGAATGTCAAAGGATCAAAATCGGTGAGAAGAACGAACTGTTTTCCTTCCAGAAAATGTCGAGTGTCGGATGCTTGAGTAGATGGAGAGTAACTCATGATCAAACGTACTGTATCGAGCTTCGGCTGGTGTGAGCTTATATGATAAAAATCCAAGTGGTTATTGGATTTTATCAACGGTCTGCTGTAAGACAACTTTGAGAGCTGTATTGGGGCAAAACATTCAACGGCGGCAGAGCATCGGATTGCAGATAGATAAGCACCATGGTATTAGCTAGAGAAAATTTGACTTCTTCGAAAGTTAGTGCAGTGGCGTCAGTGTAGTTGAATTGTTTTGGACCAATAACCAACAAGTTTGTGAGTGGAGAAAACATGTTGCAACGTTTGTAATGAAACGGTGGTCAAAAATTAAGCTTGCCTAAGAAACGTTTCAACAGTTTCAAGGAAGTGGATGTGAGTACATTTCTTATGACATCAAGTTTCTCTACGGCTGGCGTAATGCAAGTGCTCCCAATGGTGTGACCAAGAAAGTTCAAAGAAGATGAACCAAAGACACACTTGCTGCTATTAATAAACACCCTTTACTTGGTGAGACGTGTAAATAAAAGTTTTATATATTCCAAGTGTTCAATTTCGTTAGCATTTGCAATCAAAATACCATCCAGATAAGCGAAGACAAAACGTAGGCCTGAAAGTGCCTGATCATGCTGCGACCTAAAGTCCATTGACAAAACGAATAGGCTGTACCAAAACAGCCTTCGGATGCTTTGGGCGCTCAGGCGCAGCTTCAGCACTTAGTCCGAAGAAATTGCCACTCGCCTCTTCGTCTCGATAATACGACCAATGCTAGAGTACGGCTCTCCCGCATATTGTCCCATCACGCGGGGCGAGGTAGAAAAGCTTGAGCAGGTGCAGCATGTAGCCACTAGGCTGATTCCCAACTTACGAGGTATGCCATATGAAGACCGATGTAAGAAACTAGGGCTGAACACCCTAGCAAATCGTCGGCTGAGGGTTGACCTAATCGTGACGCACCGGATATTACATCTGAGTGATTACCCCATGTTGAGACAACTGCTTCATCTGCGCACACCAAGCAACACGCGAGGACACCGGTACAAACTTGTCGTACCGCAGTTGAAGCGGGTATCTCACAAACGCTGTTTCGAACGTAGAGTGGTGAATACCTGGAACAGCCTACCGCAGCCGGTAATAGAGGCGAATTCAGTGGCCGAATTTAAGAAGCTTCTAGACAAACATGTTGCAGAGGTAAAATATAAAGAGCGCAACGATAATTAACATGTTAATGTCCAAGAGCGACAACTGATGCAGCTACACAGAGTATGCTCTACTCGCTGCTTCTAATCAGTATCGGTATCAGTATCACTAAAACGTTGAAATGTTTGTGCAGCGTTATGTAAACCAAATGGCATGCGTAAAATTCGTACAAATCGAATGCTGTGGTGATAGCTATCTTATGAACATCAGCAGAATGAACATGGATATGGTGAAAATCGCGCATGACCTCAATGCATGAAATACTAGTACATCCAAGGAGATGTGAAGAAAAATCATAGATGTGTGAAGTGGGGTATCTCTCTGAAATGGTGATGCGGGTAAGTGCTCTGCAGTCTCCACGGGGTTTCCAATCGGACGCTGTCTTCTTTCTTACTATATACAACGGTGACGCCCACATGCTTTGAGATTGTAGATTTATCAGTAACTGGAGCATGTGTTGCAAATCATTATTAGACATGTTGAGTCGTAGACGTTGCGGGGAGAAAGCCGGAGTACCACTGGTGATGATGTGGTGACATACAGAATGTGTGGTATCCAGCTGATGAAAGTTTGGTTTTAATACATCTGGAAATCTATGAAGGAGCTTGTAGTGTAGAAAGTGTTTTGTAGCTCATTTGGAATAATCACCTATATCTTAACTCTATCTTCTCGCAACGCAGTCACCGTACACTCATTTGAACCGGATTTACCAACTCTACACAGTGAACCATCACACATGAAGTGAGTTTTACTACTAAAGTCCTAACCAAAGCTAACGGAATTGACAGCCATCAGTGATTGAACACAAGCGGATAACGCATTTACCTCGTGTCCATTGCTCTTCTAGGTAACACCATTCTGTGCAGCATTCTCGAGGTAGTCCGAAAAACTTATTCCAATTGAGTGTTTCTCAACGCACCCGTGGAAGAATTTGTGATCTCTCAAGCTGTGTTCAGCGTTGTGTTTACGTTCATTTGTTAACATCGATCCATCTACCGATCAACACTGCAACGTGTGCTTACAAGTGATCAACGCTCACAGAAGGCGCGCCACGTTGGTTCAGGCCTATTAGTGACGCGGGAAGCTGCAGTAACTGATCGTCCGACAAACGCGTGAACTTAAAACTTCACGCTCTCGGCTAACATGTCCCACGTTAAGAGCAAGTGTGAGTTGTGTGTTAAACTGGTGAAGAGTGCGTTAGTTTGCAGCAGTTGCTTGAAAACCTATCACAAAAAATGCCCTGGGACCGAGTCGCGAATACGAGACGGTATTAGAACATGACAGATGCGTTTTGGTTCGGCCAAGTATGCAGTGCTATCCCAGTTGTTAGCTGTCTAACTGTGATACTGAAGATGTGTGAAAGACTAACAGAATCACTCGAGCAACTAGTATGCGCCAGGGTTACACCCATGAGAGGAAAAGGACCTAGAGTTGTACGTGAAAATAACACGCCTAATTCCCTATTCAGGCCGTAGAAGAGAGCCAGACGTCCCAACATTACCCCGACGACTCAGTCGCAATCAGTACCAATTCCCTTCTATCTCCAATAAGTAAAACATTATCCACAGCCTGCCTGCTTCAACTTCTGTACCGTGTGTTATACCTAGTAGTTTGTTCACTATACAGGAGATCCTAAGCTGTAGTCAGCCAGCCATAGTGATGAACCAGGTAACATATGCATCAGTTGCCACCAAGCAAACACTAGAAATAGCACCGGTAACCGTAGTGGCCCGACTATAGAAAAGTAGAAGGTCACAGCACGGAAGGTCCCCATCAGTGCAGTTCACAAATACACAAAAAGCACTGGAAAATAAGGCTCCCAAAGCAGTGGCCACAGGCGCAGTCATGGTGCTTTAAACCTTGTGTGCACTAATGTCCCCGAATTAAAATCCCATACAATTAGGGGTAGGCTGACAGATTATCGAAATCAATCCAGTTCCATCTGCACGGCAATCCCTGTCCATGCTGATCCCACGACATTAAAAAGCATCTCGCGTCACCCAAACGCATTGCACTACGATGAACCGCGGTTAATTCGGGTAACACTGAACTCGGTGGACGAGGTAGAGTCCGTTCTATGGGAACCGACTCCACAACGCCTCAAGTGGAGTGCACAAAATACCTGAAATCCCGTGGAAAGAACGCACAGAGAATCAAACTAACAGAGAGAGGAACAGAAAAAGTAGATAAGAAGAATGTGAGTGCTCACGTGTTCCTGAGCTTACTGATTCCTCTTCCGACGATACCCAGGTACACGACCGGGAGCCATGGCACTACATCCGTGAGGATCTTTCTCGCGAATACGTCGTGGCCATCTCGTCGACATGGATATCTTTATCATCGAACTATAAGGGAATCGGTCCCAGGCTGTTCAAACTTGTGTTGCAATCAGAAGTAACGGCACAAACCCTTCTAGAGAACCGGACTAAATTCCGTAGCAGGTTGCCAACAGAAATTCGTCTGAAAGCAGCAGGAACACCACTAGCTTCTAATAACAACCCAGTGGAGGCGCAACTCTTAGTGAAAACAGCAACTGTAAGACCTGACTCGGTGATGGTTTCAACAGTACCTATAACATCCGGAGGGACACAGCAGAGTACGAGCGAACACCGGGATCCGGAGTATCTGATACTTGAATATATACCAAATTCGTCTCGAGAGTTTGCAACCCATCCAGATAACTATTAGCCACCTACCTTACATCGACCGGCGTAAACTCACTTTCTTCATCCATTCTACCCAACACACTTTTGGTCTCCGAGTAGCTCTCATACATGTATAAAAATGCCCAAGGTCTACTCAGCGAATTAACTGAATTAAGACATCGACACGCGTCAGCAGCTTGAGACCTCATGGCTATCACGGGAAGGTGGTTGCGCTGTGCGATAACGGATGCCCAAATCGCGTTAACAGGTATGTATGTGGCTTGTGATGATCGAGCCAGCAAACTCGCTGGGGTAGCCTCTACTTCCGTAACGACCTGCAGTGCGAACTCATACGCGATTCGGAAACCGATGTACCTGACTCCATTTGGTGCAGCTTCTGTCTGAGAGGGAACGATCTTGGCCTAGTGGTTGTTGTCTACCGCCGACCATCATCTACACCTGAGATGGCCTGCAACTTGGTGGCTGCATTGAGGCAGGTGATAAACAGGAAGTACAGTCATGTTCTAGTCGTCGGCGATTTCGATCTACATGCTCTAGAGTCCAAGGCCCCACAAGGATAGGAAGTCAAAGCAGACCTACAATATCTTGTCTCAGACTTTCCGCTTTACGGCCGCGTCTCTTCGCCCACCAGATTCAGGGGAAATAACAGGCCATCCACATCGCACCAAATATTCGCTAATGAAGAAGTGATGATCAAGAGAGTGATAATCGATACTTCCTAGGCAGCAGTGCTTATGCGACTTTGCATTTCACGTACACTTTCTATGCTGTATATGCCGAGGACCAAACTCAACCAACGCGAACCGTAATTAGTTACGAGACCTTAGCCCGACTGGTTGAAGCGACCGACTGGAGTTTCCTAACAGAAAATGCACCCGATATTGCCTGGGAACGTTTCGTCAGTGAGTTTAACACCCTGGTTAGTGGAGCATCGGAAATCAAGACTATCAGTTAGAGAAACATGACGGCATTCTTACAGAGTAGGACACGCAAACACTTGATGATGTGCAACGCGGCGTGGTATACCCACAAAACCGATCCGAGTCCGAGTAGCTGGGAGGCATATGTTGTTCACCGTAACCACTGTACCCAGTTAATGCGCGAGGATCAAATAGCTGATCAACATACTTTAGCCGAGCGATTGACTGCAAATTC